AGACTTGTGTTTATATTATGAAAACTAAACCCTTACTTCTAATATTGATCTCACGGGGTATTCTAGTTTTTTGTGTGCATGTCTATTTACTAATGGTGCTAAGGATGGTATATTGGTGCACTCCAATTGGTGTCATACTTCAAAGATCCATCTCTTATACCTTAGCATCATTTGATAGACATTACTCTCCCATAACTCAATTCCATGCATATGTGCAAGCTTTCAATCCAAACTCTTAGCACATATATAGGGGGAGCTAATGCTACCATTTGGGGTTCATGAAACTTGTCCATATACTTTTACACATGGTAAATATGCTTGGGCAAGCAACATGAATTCAATTGAATTTCAATTCATATATTTGTGAAAGGGTTGTCATCAATTACCAAAAAGGGGGAGATTGAAAGCTCTAGTTTGGTTTTGGTGAATTGATGAAACCCTAAGTGCTAACATAGTTTATCAAAGTGATCATGAGATAGGTAGCACTATTCCAAGTGATGGAGCAATGGTGAAGATCATGATGATGGTGTGGTGACCATGATGATCAAGTGCTTAGACTTGGAAAAGAAGAAAGAGAAAAACAAAAAGTTTAAGGCAAAGGTGAAACTTAATAGGAGCTTTTTGGTTTGGTGATCGAGACACTTAGCGAGTGTGATCACATTTAGGATAGATGGCTGTACTATTAAGAGGGGAGCTCTTATTAGACAACTCGATCATCTAGTGCCACTAGGTATTGAAATGCTTGCATTGCATTTTAGGCATAGTGCACATTCGGTGATAAAGTGATTAACCTTTGAAAAATGATTGTGAAAATGCTAACACACTCGCACGTGATGGTGAAACACTTGGAGTGTTAGCATATTTGTAAAGGTGGCGAAAAAGGTGAAGAAAAGAAGGCGTTGCTGGGCTCGGGGTGCTACCACGGGGGCACCGCCACCCCCTGTCCGGTGCACCGCCACTCCTATGGCGGTGACCGGTAGAGGAGGCTGAGAGGGAGGTGTTCTGGGTGGCACCTCCCCCCATGTCTAGTGGCACCGCTACCCCTAGGGCGGTGCCCACCTAGACGTGGCCGATAAGGGCTGATGCTGGGGCTGGCACCGGAAGTGGCGGTGTGCACCGCCATAGGCGCGACAGTGCACCGCCGTGGGCATAGTCACCCTGTCCAATGGCACCGCCCCTTTTCAACAGAGAGCGGGTGAACAAGAGTTGGGCACCGCCGTGGACACCGCCACCCCTGGGCGGTGCACCGCCCCATTTTTCCAGAGAGCATGAATTTCGGGGTGTTGGCCGGGGTGGCATGTCCGGTGCCACCGCTGCCTGTCCGGTGATCACTGACAGTCAAACTAGCCGTTGGATTCGACTGTTGGGGTGCACCGCCACCCCATGTCCAATGACCACACCGACATGTCCGGTGACCCCATAGAAGCTGACTCAAAGGGGTAACGGCTCTATTTGTTTGTGGGCATATAATAGAGCTAGTGGTCGGCCTTGGTTACTTGCTTGGCACTTCTAACGGCTACATACACCCTTTGAAAGTTGAGAACACCACTCCACTCACTTGCACACTTGATTTCATCATCTTGAGTGAGATTGGAGAGCTTCTAGTGCATTGTTTAGTGTTCTAGCATCTTGTGGCACTAGTTGGACGATTTGGGTTGGTGGAGATTTTGTTACTCTTGGTGTTTGCCGACACCTAGATGGCCCGGTGATTGGTGGATCGTCGAGCGGAGGAAGGTGATTGTCTCTAGCTCCGATCATTGTGATTGTGAGGGGTTCTTGTGCCTTTCCTGGTGGAGCACCAAAGGTAACTCTAGTAGATTGCTCGTGGCTTATGTAATCCTCATCTTATGTCGGTTGTGCGGCACCCGATTGATGGTTTGGCGTGTGATGCCAATTAGCGCGTGAACCTCCAAGTAAGTGAATCGTCACAACGAGGACTAGCTTGCCGACAAGCAAATGAACCTTGGTAAAAAAATCTTGTGTCATTTTGCCCGAGGATTTCTTGGTATTCATTGTGATTGATTGTGATCATCTTGTGATTGGCTCATACCTCGACACGTCGGTATAAACATCACCACCTCTCTTGTATTTATATTTCTAGTGTTGCTTCGCTCTTTAGTATAATTAGTTTTGAGAGCAAGCTTGTATTGGGTCTAGTTGTTAGTGTGGCTCTTGAGTTAGTCTTTGAGAGCACACTAACTTAGTGTAGTGACATAGTCAATGTGTGCTTAGAGATCATAGTCGCTAGAATTGTGGTAGATGGCTTGTATTTTTAGTAGGCTAGCGCAACACTCGCTTCACCGTTTAATTGTCTAACATCTTTGTTAAGTGTTGTTGTAGAAATTTTTAATAGGCTATTCAACCCCCTCTAGCCATTAGGACCTTTCAGCGCGGCAGTGCTACAATTTTTGTGAGGCAATGCTGCAGTACGGCAGTACTGCACCTTGGGAGCAGCAGTGCTGCACCTATACTAATCCGCTGCAAGTTTTATTTATTGTTAATTTTCAGAATTGTCTATTCATCCTTCCTCTAGGCGACATAAAGGTCCTTTCACCCCCTGGCGCCGCATCCTCCCTCTAGCCCGCGTCCGTTCTTGTGCTATAGCAAACCTTAGGTCGGGAGCGCCTAACGCCGAACCCGCTCCCGACTCTTCTCTCTCTTCTGTGGAACGCCGAACCCGCCTCCGGCTCCTTTCTCTCTCTCCCTGTGGCGTGTGCAGCCAGATGAAGTGCTCCTATGGCTGTATTTCGATTTTATGCCTCTGTATTTTTTTAGACGTACCTCGATTTATTTGTTGCAGGTCCCTGATTTGGTACGCTTTGTCAAGCATGGCCAGTCGACAATAGGTACGTGTATTCATGCATCCTTCTGTGATACGATTCAGCATGTTCAGAACCTTTGTTACATGGCTGTTAATTTTTTTTGTGCATAATAATGCTGCTTTGGCTGTCTGTGAAATTATTTTTGTCGGTCAACTAATCTTGCTTTCCTTTCTTTGTAGTTATGCTGGTTATGGCCATAGGATGACACGGATTTCCTTTCCTTTCACTACAGATTCTCGTGCTGTAGTTTGTCCTAACATACGCACCCAACCTGGTGAGCTGGCCATCTGCCTCTTCATTTGCTTAGCAATTATTTATTCGTCCATGAATGATGCCATATTCCTTTACTGCCTGGTGAGTACATTCCTACATCGTACCATCGATTGCACGCTCTTCATCCTTTGCCAGTATATGATTCAACTGATGGGGAGCGTTCCGTAAGTCACCTCATTGACTCTTTGTCTGCATTTTAGCACCTAAGGGCAGTCCCAATGATAGAAACCAGTAGTTTCTATAACATAGGACACCGCACCAAAAAAGTAGTGCTTTCCAACCCATGGTTTCTATAACATCATTCATACAAAGAGTAAATTAAATGCACCATCAAAAACAGATAGATCAATTGTGACAACTAATTTTACAGCCCACATGTGTTCCGTCGACAACACAATGACAGAAACAAAATTGGTCGATAACTGCCAGCAAATCAACACAGCCGGCAAACATAGATCATATTTCTGCATTCCATCACTTTTCAGAACCAAATATCACCATACACGACCCATAATTCAGTCTCGAAAACCATACATTAATTAATAATAGCAATCCGGAGATAAATATAACATGTAACATACATAGTTCGTACGGAAGTACTGAAGTTCATCATATGCAAAATAAAATAATAAGGTGCCACGTCAATGTCAGGTAGGTTGCACATGCACTCCAAAATCCATCGGGTAGCAATGGACTCCAAATCTTCAGAAACCATCTTCTACAAGGAAAGAAATAGTGATTAGATGAAAAACATTACTTAGTGCAATTGAAAAGGTTGAACTGGCACATGTGTTTTTCAAAAAACTAATCTGTTCTTTGTAAACAAACATACTAGGATGACTTAGCTATATTTGCACACTAAACCAAATCAGATTGAAGATATGTACCTAATTATTTTGACTATATGTATTCCCAAACTTTTGCCAAATATGATCAATCAAATCAGATTGTAGTTGTCTATACGCTTGGCGATCATGTAAGGTAGTATTTCTGTTAAGTACATCTTCCATCTCAGGGTTTTCTCCATGAGAGATTGTAGCTTCTTGAACAGTATATGTGCTGGCTTCCTCATTCAAATCAATTGGAACCTGCTCTATATCCTTCTCATCTTCAATTATCATGTTGTGGAGAATTATACAGGCAAGCATGATATTCTCCAGATCTCCTTGGTCATATAGACAGGCTGGACGACGCAAAATACAAAAGCGAGACTGCAAAATGCCAAAGGCGCATTCAACATTCTTCCTTGCCCCTTCTTGCTTCTCAGCAAAAAGTTTATGTTTATCAGATTGTGGTTTACGTATAGACTTCACGAAAACAGGCCACTCTGGATATATGCCGTCTGCTAAGTAATAACCAATATTATGTTGTCTACCATTGATAGAGTACTGCACCTGGGGAGCTTCTCCTCTCAGCTGCTCGACAAACAAATGTGATTGGTTAAGCACGTTGATATCGTTGTTCGATCCGGCAACACCAAAGAAGGCGTGCCATATCCAACGATCATGCGAAGCAACTGCCTCTAGAATGATCGTAGGAACACCGTGATCACCGCGGGTATACATACCCTTCCATGCATAAGGACATTTTTTCTAGTGCCAGTGCATACAGTCAACACTCCCTAGCATGCCAGGGAACCCACGACGCTCACCAATCTCCATTAAGCGCTCAACATCTTGTACTGTTGGTCGCCTCAAATACTCCCCCCCAAATTTTGCAATCACTCCCTCCACAAATAACTTCAAACACTCTACTGCAGTACTTTCACCAATCTTAATATACTCATCAAGCTGGTCTGCTGGGCTTCCATTTGCTAACTGCCTTATTGCAGCAGTGCACTTTTGAATTGGAGATAGCCCAGGGCGATTAGCAGCATCCACTCTTAAGGTGAAAAAGGGAGACCACTCACCTAGGGCATGTACCAAATAAGACCAACCTCATACTCTCTAGTGCTTTCTCCCTCTCAGCCAAAGCATGAGCATTCATATTAGTTGTTGGAGCTAACAGAAGCTCTCTGTAAGTGTCTAGCATTTTACACTTGAGTTGCTTCTCTGCTGCCTTATCAGTCAACCTAGCAGCTTCTACCTTACTTTTTGCCATAATTTGTTGCGTCTCCGCCATCTTCTCACGGTCCTTTCTAGCCAATGTGCTTACTTCAATGAACTTGTCTAGCTTGTCAGTAATAGCAGAAAAAGCTTCAGGTGTCTTCTTTTTCCCATAGAGCTCAGCCTTAGCCTTCTTATGTCCAATAGGACGAATCTTAGGATTATCTTCCAAATTCACCACTTGAGACGGCGAATCAGCTGCACTCTTGTTCTTTTCTTTTTCCTGTTCCTTTTTCACATATGCAGACCACTTCCTTTCATTCCTCACAACCTTCCAAAAGTGCTTCAGTGTAAATTCTTTGTCATTATGTTCACTAGCATACATCTTCTCAGCAATTTCCATCAGTTGATCATCGCTCACACCACTTCTGTAGACTTTGGTGGTTCTATTCCAGCAACCATGGAAATCCATTACTGGTTTCTTAACACGGTCCCAGCGGATCTTCAGTTGATTCCGGTTTCTCCTACAGCAAACCTCTGTGCTTTTATTGTATTCTTCAGTAACATCCGTCCAATATTGATCTGCCTTCCTATCGGTTCCATCAACTGGGTCCTTTGAGTTACGCAGCCAAGCAGAAGCCTACATTCAAAAAACAACACCTACAAGTTTATAACCAAGCTGATTGTTCAAGTTGTTCACAAACTAAGAAAGGATGCTTACCAATCTAACGTCTTCAGGTTTCGTCCAATTCAATCGCCTCTCAGTCCTCTCGTCTTCGTTGGTTTCATCCGCATCAATATTGATTGTTTCTTTGTCTTCTGCATTGCTTTCTAGGGTTCTTTTCAAACTTGGAGCAGTTGGAGAAATTGTAGTTCTACTTGTTGTATTTCCAACTAAATGGAAATTCTCTGGACTACCATTTGACTGGAGAAAATTGGTAAACCCACCTGGTGGGTACATCCTAAAAAAATGAAAAGAGATGTTCAATGAAACTGATAAGAACAGTATGAACCATCTGGACTACTTGTTCATATAGAAAAAGCATTTTCTACCATAAATACTTGTAGTAACAGTATGAACGTTGGAAACACTAAAACTGATAAGAACACATACCCTTCATTGGAGCCCATCGGAGAGGAATTTGTCCACCACGTTGGCAATCCGGCTGCTTGAAGGCTTGGAAGTGGTGGAGTTTTGATCCACGCGCGAGAGGATTTCCGGATCCATCATCGAGGCTGGGAGCAACGACTACCGATTCGGATCGGGTAGCGGCGGCGAGAGCACCCTGCCCGCTTGGCCCTGCCTTCCCTGTCTTGCCTTGCACGAGCTTGACGATGAAGGCGGAGAAGATTCATGCTTGAAGATTGAAATTTGGATGATTCTAGGTCTTGGAGGCCGAGCTATTTGAGTCGAATAGCGCGTGGGAGATCCAGCAGCGCAGAGAAAAAGGGCGACGTAAAGGGCGGGAAAGGGAAGGAAGGAGGGAAGGCGAGCTCACGAGGGAAATCGAAGGCGGAGGCGCGTGGGGAGATCCAGCAGGCGCTGGGGAAAGGGCGGAGATCCAGGCGGAAGCGCAGCGCCATCGGGCGACGATGGAGGGGGGGAGATCGCAGGGGAGATCCAGCGAGCTGCGCGCCATCGGGCCGACGTGGCGGGAGAAAGCGGGGGGGGATCCAGCGAGCGCGCCATCAGAGGGCGGCGCATGGGATCCGGGTGAAGGGCACAAGACGCTGGTCGTTTCTTCCCAACGGCTTTTTCGTAGTTTCTAGGAGCATTCGCCGTTTCCTCTTGAGGAAACGGTTTCTTCGTTTTTCTCTCTCTCTCTTCATTAATTTTCATGCCACATCAGCAAAATGCTGACTTGTCCAAGTAATTAATGAAGATAGAAACTACCATAAATACACCATTGGGAGTGCCCTAAGATGTGTTCATATGTGCTATTTAATCTATTGATTCGGAATTTATAGGGTCATCTTCTGCATGGGTCCAGTGCCGAGACTCCGTTCCATTGCCGCTTCACATATTCTGCTGCTTAGGTAAGCTTGCTTGTTTTGCAGCCTACCTCCCAGCTATGGTTATTTCCTTTGTCCTGAACTGTTTACAATTGATAATTGATCTCAATTGCACGTGTAGCTATCCTTTATGGTTGATGATTGATCTCAAACGCAAGTGTACCTATCCTTGGTCCTGTCCTGTTTATAGTCGATAATTGATCTCGATTTCAAGTGTGGCTAAAGCTGGCCTCCGCTCTTTTTTTTTGAACACATCCTTGTTTACCAGAAATTACAGGGACAAAATAAAGAGCTCCAACAAGCTTCCTTTGACAAAAAAAAAGCTTTCATGTTTTTTCTCCAGGGTTTAGAGTCTCATAGTTGCATTTCCTTCTATAATGGATCGTGTCTAATATTTATATTGGATCTGTCCAGCGCCCACGCTCCGTTCGATTGCCGCTTCACACATTCTGCTGTGTACGTAAGTTTAATAGCAATATGATAGGATCCCTGTGCTCTTTTTTCTTATATGTTGGTGATTTTCAACCTGTAAAGGAAGGGACACGCTAATTTCTTCTATCCTGCAGATTTTTTTTTTTTTTTTTTTTTTGCCCCTCATGCAGCTTGGCAATGATACAGTCTCAGTGCTTGTTGGACCAGTCTCATACTTGCTCCTCTCTAAACGTGCCATGGGTGTTCACAGATCTTTCTCTCTTCTTTCACTTCTTGGTAGTATTTTTCCCATCTACAAGTAATCATCCACACAAAGCAGCCAACATTAATATTCACCAAAAACATGAAGACCACCTGTGGACCACATTAGTTATTTCGTTTTGCTGTAGTTCTGACCCTGAAAGTTATGTGAAAATCACTTGCTTGGAGCTAATAGTTTAGCCTCTCCTGTTCCCCAAAGTATTGCATGGAACTCAGACTGGATGGCAGGCCACCGAGTTTCACGTTGTTGTTTAAAATTTTTACCTCATTCCCATAGGGAAAATGAGATATTTTTTTATATGGCACTCATACATTAGAAAAAATTAACCATCACAGCTCAGGCCATGGTAACCTTGAATCTTTTGTTCTATTTTTTACCTATACCAACCAATTCCTGAAGTACAAGCAAGCTACGGTATGATACTATCCACCTAGCAGCAACTAATTTGATGATGGCCATTGTTTTCTTAGATTCTTGATTGAGGTAATGTGTTGTGTGATCAATCTACAATTTGTAGATGGCAAGGACAACCACCTGCAGCCGAACGTCCAATGTGCACGACAAGCAGCAGATGTATAACGAGGGAAGCATGGAAGGAAAGGTAGTTCGGTCACAGTTCCTATGAATTAATCTTGCCAGTTCCCAATTTGCATTGTAGGTATCTTAACTGCCTTCTGAATTTTACCTCTGGGAACCGCATTTTAATATTTTATCATATTCTTTAGAGGTAATAATGCAAGATCTTAACTATTGTATGCAATTTCCAAGTAGGTTGTAGCTAAGAATCCCTCTTTGCACAGTTTTTTCTTTAGTCTGCCAATGCATTTCAATTTGCTCCTATTTAATCTAATAGATTGCATTTACAGGCTTTTGTAACGTGTTTGCCAAAAAAACTGTATAAAATAGGTCCCAACTCAATAGTCTCAATTTGAACTTTGCTGGCTGTAAGGACTATTTGTAAATGGCATACCGTTCACCCTATTTCAATGTTTGTCATGTAAATTTGCTAACATAGTATTTTGGAAATTAGTAGCACACTGCTATGTACAAGGAGACTGGAATGGTGTTCCAGTGTCAGCTACATCATGTTGGTCTCTCAACCTATTTTTAATTGTCTCTAGGTACAACCTGCATCTCTGAATGTGCTGTAGGTGTGTGGTGCTGGAGCTTGTCATGAAACTTCTTGCCATAATTTACATGTGCGCGTGATAATATTTTTGCGGAAATGCGCGATAGCTTGGATTGCTATCCATTTTCACTGTTCATGGCCAGTGGTAACGAATAGAGGGTAATGGACTCTGTTCCCATGATTTTAGAAAAAACTTAAGAACCTCTCCATGATGTTACATGGCTTATTTTGTTTTATTGTGTCTCTTCATTTCCTACTTAATTTTAGATTTTTCTTGGTGATTTCAATATTGTCTGATTATTATGTGTAAATTTCTACAATTCTTTTGGATCTGTCAGGAACATATTATGTGTAAATTTCTGAACTGCCAGGAACATGTTGTCCCAGTTTTATGATTTTTAGCACCTACCATGGGTTCTTACAAATTCATATAAATTGACAAGTTATAAATGGTCAATACATCGCTGAAGATGGCTGCATTATTTGTTTGAACAGAGATCATCTACAGAATATTTTTGGGACAAAGAAAAGCATGAGGAAAACAAAGGTCGAGATCTAAATGCTAAAGAAAGCGCATGTTTTTTTGGTACGCTCTGCCATAACCTTGTTCTGAAAATTTCTTTTTTACAGTTATACATGTTTAGAGTTCTTTCAACTTGATGGAATAATACATCATATATTGATGGTGCATAAAACTGTAGACCTGGAACATGGGCTGAGCATGAGTGTGGAGCTATATTTATTAACAGGTAAGGTAATGTGTAGGAAGCCACAACATCACCTTGCTTGACCTTTTATTTAAATGCTCTTTACAAGCTATTAGTTGTAGTGTAAAAATCGAGGAATTGTATGGTGACAGGTGACCTCCCCTTGGTGTGACATCTGCTGATCTACACCTTGGAGTTCAGATCATTGCTGAGAAAATTAAACAGCTCAAAAAGGAATCTGCCCATTTCTACATGTTCTTCGTTAATTCACAGATAAAGCAAATCCTAAAACATATATGCATAAATTCCTACAAATACTTGGAACCGTCAGGAACATATTGTCCCAGTTTGATGATTTTTAGCACCTACCATGGATTCTTAGAAATTCATATATGTCAACAGGTTATAAATGGTCATATAAGTTGACAAGTTACAAATTTCGTTTCTGGAATTTACTCAATTTCTATCTCTCTACGTATGGATGGCATTGTGTTGTTTTCTCTATTTATAGCCACCTCCGTCGTGTTGCTACTCGATTATTCTTCGGTTGCCGTTGACTGCTTACAGAGCACTTTAGGACTTTGATCAACATGGTTTCTGACATTTCAAAACATTTAGGCCCGTGTCCTTAAACCCGGCTTGATTCGTTTTTTTTTTCATCCGAAACAATATTTTTCTCTCACAAATTCCTCCAGTATTTCTCAAAACTATCCAAATTCCTCCAGAATCCCTCCAAGTGAACATGCCCTTACATGTTTCTGCTACGGATTCGAATAAGGGGGTTCTGTTACTAGCTGGCTGCTCTATCTTGATAAAATTTTGGTTGTCCGATAAACGCCTGTACGTTCCACCTGCTTAGTATTCGATTATTCTTTGCATCCTCAATTTGATATACTGTCAGCGCGTGTCTATTTTTGTTCTCTTCGCTGCTCAGGCTTTGTTCCAAAAGATGAAAATTAGTAGCCTCGTGTCAAAAACTGGATGTAATATATACCTATGCACCAGCGTGTATATATAAATATACAATTTTAATATATGTTTACCTCTATTATTACTCATATTTCAATCTATGTATCCAACACATTTTGCCCGTCACAAAAAAACTTTTCTGTGCCCACCCACGCGCACGAGGGCGCGCGCCTTGCACTAGTGTAACTTTAGAGTGCGTGCGATGAAAGGACTTGTGTACGGCTGAGCTCCAATCTTACTTAGGGTGTGTTCTTTTCTCTAGTCCTCGGACTAGAGACTAAAACAAAACTAAAATGATATTTGTTTTCAAGGACTAAAGAGGAGGAGAGAGACTGCAAGGGAGGAGAGAGAGGGAGGGGTATGGACTGTAAATAATCCATTAGTCCCAATTAGCAGCCCCAAGAGACTACTTTATTTTAGTCCATAGTTTCTGTTTTAGTCCCTAGTGTTTGGTTCAAATGAATTAATTTGGACTAAAATTTAGTCTTTAGTCCCTTCTCACATGGAAAAGAACACGCCCTTAATCGTATTGTGCTCTATGTGACATGATTTTGGATGAAGGTTGCCTAGTGGATTAGCATGCTACCAGTGGACGTTCAGATTAGCTAGATTAAGTTGAGCATAGGCCAGTGGTGATAGCTTAAATTAACCTAGTTTGGTTAATTGGAGGGTCCACACGGCTAGCAACCCTTGAGGGGACTACCGCGGGTAAAGGAGGAGAACGGTTGGTTTAGGAGACATTTTTTTTAGATAGACACAGAGGTTAGCGGGGAGGGGATGCCGTGGAGGACAGGGTAGAATGACGGGAGGAGGGGGCACTGTATTTTGCTTTGCTACTGGGCGACGGAGGAAGAAAGAATATGACCACTAGATTGCAATTTGACGGTCAAGAAACATCACCTGTTCTTTTGGGATAAAAACAGACGCTGTTTTATAGCAATTTCCATCGGTAAATCCACATTGTAAATAAGGGGCATCAAAAAGACTTGATAGGGAAATGTTCAAATACGTCTGTTGGGTCCAGAAGAGAGGAATGGCACAATACTGCAGCCCATTACAAACTTAGGATTCGTCAGAACCAAATGAGCGCTGCCAGGACTGTGTAGGCTTTGAGAATCCGATTCTACAGGCCGTGGCGTGATGGGCTTGGACCATAGCACGGAAGCTGTGCCTGTGCGCCCCGAGCCTGTGCCGTCACCTGGTCCAGTCCATCCAGAAGGAAACCACGGACCAAGGTCCAGCCCCCAGAGGGGGCATCGCGGCTTGGCCCTCGGGGAACAGCTACAGCTAGTTTCGTCTAGCGGGCTCGTTTGTTGCTGCGCAGGACTGCACAGCTTGGTCCCTTGCATTTGGTGTGGCCGCACACAACTGTTCACGTACTGCTCCCATCCTATCCTACTAGCGTTTCATTCTCCCCCAGCCTAGAGAATCTGTCACCTACTAGAGGCTACCATGAGTCGCTTTCCAAGAGCACAGAAGCTGACGGCACCGGCCAACAGCCCTGCAAACGACGGCCAATCTGTCGGGGCCAGGGCTTGGGCGATTGTCTGCATTCCGACCCAGAATTCATCGAGCACACACAACGCACCAATTTGAGTGCCGCCCAGCAGGAGGAAGAGGCTGGGGGGACAAGGGACAAGGAGAGATCAGACTTGGGTCACCAAAACCCACCAAATTCCATAGCCTGCCCGCGCGCGGTGTGCGGTGCAGGCGAGGCGATCCAACGAGCCCAACTCAACCCCCCTGATCCCCTTCTTCCGCCGCGGTTAGGTAAGCCACATCCGCGCGCGTTCCACGATCCACCAGAAGAACAGGCGGACCCCTCTCACTCTCAGCCGGATCGCGGGTTCTCGTTTCCGCTTCGGTTCTGTTCTCTTCCGCGAAAGGCGAACCCTCGCGTGCTGACCCCATCCCATTCGCGTTCCCGGACTCCCGGCTTTCTACAACCGCCGCCACCGCTACGCGCACAACTCCCCTGGCTCCAGCACGGCGCGCCGTACCCTCCGACCAGCGCGTGTCCCGCGTCCCGCGCCGCGCCTCTGGCGTCTCTGGCCTCCAACGAGACGACACCGTCGCGGCTCAGCCCACTGCCACCCCCCGCAACTAGGCAACTATCCTCGCTGTGTTCCCACTGAGCTGTGGTCCCAGTCGCGTGACGCGGCCCACCGGCCAGCGTCACGGAAAGCTCCCCTTATCTGCGGGCTCAGTCGGTACCCCCGCGCCGCGCCTCTCATCCCGCGCCGCGACACCGCCCTTCTCTGTTCGCGCCGCCACTTTCCTGACACAAATCAGAAAACCGCAGCCAATCCAGCCGAAGCTGGGAAAAAAAAAATCTTGGAAGCCGCGGGAGAGGAGTCATGGAGGACACCGGCCAGGCAGGTCCCGCCGAGAACCTTCCGGAGCCTGAGCCTCTGTCGCCAGCCGTGGAGGCCGAGGCTGAGGACGAAGCAGACGACGACGACGAGTTCAGCTTCCCCGTCCCGCCGGTCGCCGCCGACGCGTGCATCGTGCCCGTGTACCCGATCTTCGGCCGGGCGCAGTCCCCGCCGCCGCGGGGGGAGGTGGTGGAGGAGCCGGGGACGGCCACCGTGCGGGTGCCGCTGGGGCGGCTCCTGCTGGAGGAGCGCGAGTTCCGCGCGCGGGAGCAGTACGGGCGATCGGCGAGTGCGCGGCGGGCGTGGCAGGAGGAGGACGACGACGACGACGCCTCCGGCGGCGGCGGCGCCGGGGATGAGGACCTGGAGGGCGTGCCGCCGGATAGCTACTGCCTGTGGGCGCCCGGCGGCGGCGGGCAGTCGTCGCCGCCCGCGTCGCCGCGCCGGTGCCGGAAGAGCGGCTCCACGGGCTCCGTCCTCCGCTGGCGCCGCATCAGCGACCGCCTCGTCGGCCGCAGCCACAGCGACGGCAAGGAGAAGTTCGTCTTCCTCACCACCGCCGCCACCGCCGTTCCGGAGCCGCCTCGTCCTAGTATCAAGGAAGAGGAGGAAGGAGGCGGCGGCATCAACAAAGGCGGCGACGCAGGCAGCGTGGCCCATCAATTGAGATATTACGGCAGAGGAGGCGGCGGCAGCGGCAGCCGGAGGCGTTCGTATCTGCCGTACAAGCAAGAACTCGTCGGGCTGTTCGCCAACGTCAGTGGGTTGCGCCGGAGCTATCACCCGTTCTAACGCCATTTCTCCGTGTCCTCGATCCGTACGGTCCGATCTTGCTTGTGTGTTTCTGTGCATAATAGTACTGCCTATACTGTCTACTGTTTTCTACAGTTTACGGCGGAAGTAGATCTGCGTGTTTTCTCTAATTTGTATTTTTTTGGTATAAAAAAATAGCAGAACCTCAACAATGGAAATAGCTGTGAAAAAAGGACCAAAAAAACAGGAGAAGAGAACAGGAGAAGAGATGTTTTTCAAAAGTAGAATGTGTGTAAAATCAAAAACCTACTACTCATTTGTTTTTAGTTCGGTTTTCGGTTAAACATAAACCGACTAAAATCCTAAATCCAGAACTGGTGTTCTTTTGGCTTTTTAGTTCGGTTTGTGTTCTCAGGTTACAACACATTTTAAGTTTGGATGTTAAAAGTAGTGACACACTTTTGGGAACGGCGGTATGTGGTTGACTAACGAGTGGTCAGTGTAGACTCAGTTCCTCTCTCTAGGGGTGAGATGAAGTAGAGTGTGTAATGCTACTACTCATTTGTTCACATACTTAACCTAAATCCAGAACTGGTGTTCTTTTGGCTTGTTTATTCTCCATGTGTTCTCTACAATGTGTGATGTTAAAAGTAGTGTTTGGGGGGACCTGGGAGAGAGAAAAACTCTCTCTCTCTAGGGTGGCTTTATATTCAAAGCATGAGGTCTCGTGGTTCAATTTAGTGACCAGGAGAGAAAAACTCTCTCGTCTGTTTTATATCCAAAGCATAGGTCTATGTTCAATTTATCTCACGGAGCCTGCGGTGCCGCTATATAAGGGTGGGACAAAGGTTTGGAGGTTTTCTCGATCTGTGTGAGAAGATCTTCTTAAACGGGAATACCAGATGTCTAGCCACCGCGGATCGAGTTTGTTTAAAAAAAATATTGCGACAGAATTCAGGTTAGATAAGATAGCATCCTATCTGGCGATGTATATTGGTTAGCTTTTGGTTTGCGTCAGCGGCAGTGACGGTTGATTTTAATATCTTCGCAAAAAAGAAAAAGAAGTTGATTTTAATGTGTCGCGTAGTGCAATACGGGGTGGTGTCGACGTGTCGTACGAATTACCCCGTAGACAACTTCAAGTTTCCTTAATATACATACATCATGTTAATTCCCCGAAGCAATCACTGAATACGTCACAGTGAGATATCGATGATGTCAGTGATCTCCACGAAATCAGGCTTTTTTTTTTTCTGGTAGAGCTCCGTCCAAACCGAAGCAAGCACGGTGAAAGTGTGAGTTTTTTAAGCTCCCTCTGCCTCCGCTATTGGGGTTTATAGTACCGGAGCTAGAACTGGACGAACCCACGCTATACCGGACCTTAGTTATGCATTTTCAAAGCCAAACATTAGTCGAATCCAACGGTTCCCGTTTATGTTGTGCATGTAAAAGTGACACATTCTCTTTGATCACATTATCCCCACTACGTATCAGTACTACAATGAGCAAGAATCCGGTTGCTATTGCTATCCGATTGCACAGCACACACCATTTTCCCCACTTGGCCACTTTTTATCTGTGGGTTGGTTACTACTGAATGCTGAATATCTCCTTTTTTGCTTCTATAAATTGAAGCAACCATGGTTCACAATGTGATATGATCTTAATTCTGTTTTTTCAACTTTTCAACTTATCCTAGCTGTGTGGTACCGAATCAGGTCCTGTTTGTCGTCGTCCAATGTTAACTGTTACGAAACAAGAGATACACACGCCGGCCAGTTATCTCGCTCCCTCCGTCGTCGTCAGATGAGATGACTTTGGCTTGCGTTAACTGTTAACTGTTACGAAACAAAAGATACGCTCCCTCCGTCGTCGTCATACGAGGCTCCTCCAACTCCTACTCGCCATCCTCTTCCAAAGCTACACTACTGTTCAGACTTCCAGAGCCAAGGGCTCGTGGCTTTGGCTTGCGTTCGGCTTCGTCTCTTTCAGCGCGTTCGGATGGTCCGGTAAACAATGTTTTTGGGTTTTTTTTTATAATTGAATAGTATTATGTGGGAGAGAATAAGCTCAAAGATCTATACCAGCTGAAACAAGCTTCGTCTCCTGTCAGTTGTCACGCCCTTCCATCGGCCCCACTGTGTATACGGGTGCGCGCGGCGTGATCGCGACGAGCATCCATCGGATCGGAGCGCCACAGCAGACGCTGGCGCGAGGCAAAGCCAGCCACACACGTACGGAGTAGCAGCGAGCTCCTGTCTTGTTAAAGGGGAAAGCGCCTCCTTTATATATTCTCTCCGTTCTCAGGAATCATTTGCTGCGTCTGCGTTCTTTCCATTTTCATCAGGCGGGGCTAGTTGGGTACTCGGACATGTAGGCCTCACCAGCCGACAAGCTTTTGTTCTCGTTCCTGTCCAAGGAAGCGCTATGCTAGCTAGCTAGCCATCCGGCGAGCGGTGGCTACTGCTTAGAGCATCTCTAGCAGTAGCCTCCAAATCAGGTTCTTTATTTTTATCGAGGTGCATAACCTTATTTTTGTTGATCCAATAAATTTCTTTTACTCCAGCATCAGCACCCAAAGTCAGGCCCCCAAATCTATATTAGCAAGAATGACACGAGGGACCCACGTGTCATTGAGTTAAACTTTTTCTTCCCTATCCTTCACATGCAGATCCAATCGACGCGGCAGAGGGAGGCGTGGCCCGACTGCTCCCGCGCAACGGTCATGGCTCGGGCCGCTCCCGCGCCGCGGCCAGTCGGTCGCGCTTGCCCATTGAAGGAGAGAGGGACACACCACCAGAGGAGAGAGGGACAAGCGTTGTCGCCCGCTGGAGCTCCGACCAAGGTCGCAGATCCACTCGCCGCCGAGCCCTTCGTCTATGTACTCTGCGTATTTGGCCGTGCGGGGAGGAGAGAGGGAGCAGCGATTGCGCGAGCCAGATGCGCGTGGAGAGGGATGGGGGCTGGGGTATTGGCCCAACCAGAATATGCTCTGGTGGGAGGATTTTGGTGCCTCCACAAATTTAAGGTCCGTAGTAGGAGCTCTACTAGAGTTGGATTTTTGACGTGAGCCCTCGTATTTAGCTATGGAGAGTTAAGTAGGGGCCCACTGAAGTTGCTTTAAATAGTATAAGTAAGCTATAGTAGCGACATCATCTTGTTTGCGTTCTAGTTAGATCGCACAAGTGCGGCCACGAGTGGGATAGAAGATATCATGCGCGCGTCTAGTGCGGTGGGCTCATGCGCGCGTCGCTGCTAGCAACGGGTGCTGCCGAGTGATCTCCATCGATCGGTCGCTCGGGGAGGGAGACAAGGGTGCGCGCGCGTCCCACTCGGTGTTCCTCACTTCCTCGCCAGGCACCGCGCGCGACGCCGACGCGGGCGTTATGCGGAGCGCACAGCCAGGACATGGGTGGTTTTAGGTGGTTGGAGCGAGCGCCACTGATGATCAGTGCGCGCGGGGGGTGCCGATAAGCGGAGTGGGCTCCGCCTCGGCGTTGGCGGTGCCATGCCGTGCGTGCGCGGGCAAAACGCAGCGCGGCCGTGCCACCACCACTTGGCTCGGTGGATCGCGACGGCGGAAGGTGTCAGGCCAGCTTTCGGTCCCGGCCGGCCGCCGAACCAAACGCAACGCTGGATTTCGACGTCGAGTAATAAACGCCAATTAAGAGCAAAGCAATCGATCTACTAGTAGTAAATAACTAAGGACGTTATTGTTGCTTTGCTGCACCGTGTGAGATGAGAGAGACTGAATCCCTCAAATTAGTGTATTTTTTCATACTCCAGTCACTGACAAATTACTAAGTAATTTGGCAGTGCCACAGTCGAGCGTTATGTTACAATCAGACTTCAGTCCAGACCAAGTTAATCAGTGTACTATTGCCCCAGTTGTATGTTATATACAGTACTACTTACAATACCAGCTCAAAGGCAGACCGAACAGCCAGATTGAAGACAACCAGTGCTAGTTTTCAGTTACTCCTTTTTTTCTGACGAATACCAGCGCAGATGCCAGAGGCTTGGTGCTATCACTATATCACAGAAACTACCATGAGCATCTTGGTTCCGGTTTGGTGCTACTACTATACCTATCAGGCATTCAGCAAGCTCTATAGTATATAATCCTGCCAAGAGGGCATAAAGAAGCACATGCTGTTATAGCTTTAGCTCCATTGATCATTGAACAGAGCGCAGGTCAACAATCTCAAACCGCAAATTGGGGTTGAAGTGCACTTTCGAGCAGGTTTCATAGATTGGACTGCCGTTGGTTGTCTCTCGGTGAGTGTGGAACCCGCTTTCATCACACTCCCTAAGCACATCCATCCCTCCAGGATCAGTCAGCCTGAATATTCCATAACTCCTGAAAGATTTGAGAAACAAATAGGGTAGTTTCAGATTTCATTCTACAAGTGTAGCATGACTGAATATTAGTATATTACCCAGAACCAGAAGGTAGGACCAAAAGCAATTAAGAACAAAGGAACTGCAGATGTATGACAGGCACTTTATGTGCAAGTGTAGTAGTTATTAGCAAAGAACACTTGCCTGGTTGGATCTGTGGGTGCGACCACAATTGCAACAGCCTCTGGTAGCATAACCTACGGGAATCCAGCATTTTTCATTAATCAAAGTTAAGGCACGGCAAAGTGTGATAACAAAGTGAAAGCAGGTGAAAGAGTCAGCTTGAAGTTCTGAGTTGACAGTGTCACAGAAGTATTTACTAATTCTGAGCTACAGTGCAAGTTATCCTCAATGTTAGTACAACCATGAAAATGCTAACTGGCCAAATAATGATTTTGCTAACTCTAGGAGCATGGTTGATCATTCCTGGTGTTAATTAATAACTTAATATCCTTCCGCTAGGTAAATGATTTTTATTCTACGGAATTGAAATATGCAAATAGTTGAAGCACTGTTGCTACTTGTACGATGTGATTATATTCACCACCAGTGACCACAAAAACTTAAAAAATAGATGGTATCCGTTGGCCTGCCTTTTCAGTATTCAACTAGTGTTTTTAATCAGGACACGAGGGGAAGGTATGTAACCGACAAATATCAGCTTCTAAGCCTAATGGCTACTAAATAAAGGTTAGGGCATAGTTTTCAGATATCAGGGTGAAAAATAAGTTAAACTTTTTAGCTAATCACCAAGACCACAATCTTTGGCTATCTTTAAATGTGTGGCAGTGTCTATGATTCTGTATGGCTGATTTATGCAAATCAGTGGTGCATCTAGATACTCATGGTACCTAAAGAGATCATCTCGTCAATTAAGGAACCATAAGGAACCATGTAATACCATATATCATCTAAGTACGTGCAAAAAGATTACATTGAGACCAAACTCTATGGTAAGATCATGTCAATAATTTGATGTTTGACAGCAGATCATTCAAGCGGAAGTTGCCACATAAAAAATTGAATACTTTTAAAAGTCCTATCATTTTATATAAATATAAAAAACACCTTCCCTTTTGTAGATCAACTCAGCACAGCTTATTTAATTACCTGGTAAGAGTACTGAGTATGCAAATCGATCGATGATAGAAAGCATGTTTGTGAAGGATGAGTCTGGAAAAGGGGGAAAAGTGTCAATTCTCAGGAACAGTTAACGAAAAGTGACCATTCTGTCCAATACTTGAAGTACACTAGAAAAGAATAGGAGCAAGAATGTTCAAATAGTAAAGAAGATGAGGTCCATGCTCTGCAGTGATAAAACAAGTCAAGTTGAATTTGAATTGGACATGATATGACTCTTTCTTCATTCTTTTTTATAAAGGTACTCCCTCTATTCCAAATTCTAAGTCATTCAGCTTTGTTTTAAGTCAAACTTGTCTAACTTTGACCAAGTCTACAGAAAAATGCACAAATATCTACCACAACAAACAAGATCTATTAAATACACCATGAAATATGTTTTGACATGCATTTATTTGATATATTGTAAATGTTAATATATTTTTCTATAAACTTGGTCAAAGTTAGACAAGTTTAACTTAGGACAAAACTAAAATGACTTACAATTTGAAGTGGAGGGAGTAGATTACTACTTATTGCATGAATTCACTGTTCTGGGTGTATTTATGATGACACATGCATCTTTCTTATATATATGCAACATAGTCAAAACAGCAGAGACAGTATATAGAACAAGTGAACAAATTATGAAATTTCACCTTGCCGCTTATTGTGAAGGACTCAAGATAACAACAATATCCTGATAATTCTGATTCCATGTGAAATATGCCACTATCATACTACTATGGGGCAGGATGCCAAGGTCAGCATGTTGCTTTTCTCAGAAAGAATCCAGTACATTATCTACTGCTCCTTCATATGGCTAATGCAAGAAAGGCATGTTATATGTAGTATTTTCTGCGATGAACGTTGTATGTTATCGATTCAATATAATTGCCAAAACATGTCTCGATGTTGCAATAATCTGACTGTCTGAAGGTTCATCTTGGTAATAATTGTTACTTTCTAGATGAACTAAATATGTTTCGTCCAACTTTATTAAAAGTGAGTGTCAATGCTAAATTGATGAACATTTTTTCCTGAAAAATAGCGGGAGGGCAGCAAATTTCACTGATTAGAAGAAAGAATTGCAGCAAGCCAAAATGAAAGAAGAAGGCTTGGCCCTCAACTGCAAAAAGAAAGAAAGAAAACTATGTGTACATGATGAATGAGGTTACATGATACAACAATGAAAGCATCTAGCGCAGGTATCAGCTTATTTATCTTTTCAGATTAGGTGAAGCACGTAACTTGTATGTGCATTTTTTTTTTCATTTCAACTGAACCAGCAACGAAGACAAAGTTCATGAAGTATGGAAATGCTAGAATACATACATGAATCCATCCTGCAGGGTAAAGCGACTGCTCTGATAACACGGCATGTATCTCCTCCTCACTAACAGCCTGGCACTGTATTTGGAAAAAAAAGAGAGGAAGACTTCAGAATGGCATAGCTAGATATTTGTCAGGACATTTAATAATCTAATAATAATATATTAAGTATATGTTCAAAACCACTCAATTACTGCATACTGAGTGAGCAGTTCCTTCTTGCTTCGGTATAATCAACATTGTCACAAAGTAAGTTCCATCCCTCTGCATACAAACATAAAATATTCAAGATCTAATCTGAAAATTAGGTATGTTTGTCACATTGGTAATTTATTGCCGACTGCACTTACAAATGAAGCACCAAGAATTCCACAAGTCTCTAGATTTTTGCTTGTATTCTCCTTTGCAAGCTCCATGAATTCGTCTGTCAATCTCACTGACTGAATAACATGCATAAGGATGTTATTTCATCTCAATCTTCAGTTCGTACCAGCCTCCAAGAGACACTGTATGTTTTTAAATAAAAAGATGGGGAATGGAAGGGAACGTACTATTTGCATATCATGCAAATTACTTGATGTTGAAGACTGTCCCACTGAAGCTCTGGCTTGCTCATCCACATATTCAGAGTCAGAGCTAAAAGAAGCATTGCCAAAGCTCGAAAGGTCTTCTATCCAAGATACAATTGGAGACGGGAAGTGATGCTTCACAGCGCAGGAACCAACATCATGGTCTCTCACTGTGGCTTGGCAGCTGACAACTTGTTGAGCATCCAGATACATTGATTTACTTGGTGCTGAGTGAATCCCACATCTCCTCGTATCGATGCCGTATCTGCCATTTTTGCATTGATCATGTCATGATGTTGTATCAGAAACAAAATCGTCAACTGCTACAGAAGGTACAAGCACGGCATACCTCCTGCTACCCATGGCTGGAGCAGGACACCAAAATTTCAGCCTGCGATTTGGAACAGTTAGAATTTAGAAACACTGAAGACAAAAGAGTTGACTCTGGAAAGAAATGACAGCAGTTTGATAAGGCGCCTAACAACACCAGAGCACTGTTATTGTTGAGCATCACTTAGGCGAACTAACAAAAACATTGAGAAGCAATCGAAAAAGTTCACGGCAGGTACAATACATCATTTGCTTCCTATTAAATAAATGCATAGGCAGAGCATCTGTCATATTCCCTTCAAACAATGAGGTACATCCTCCACCCAACCTACTAGTCTATTAATCTGCAGAGCAATTGGAGACTGCGTTGCTTCAAAGTTCAAACAACAGAAAATCAACCTGTGCTGATTAAAAGTAATAGCTAGCCCAACAATAATTTGAATTAAGAAAGACCTCTTCATCACTAACCACCCAGAAGCAGCCACAAAAAGTAGTACCAATCCTTAGCTCCCCACTAGAAGTTAAACCCTAAAAGCCAACCAGATAAGCACAATCGCACGCACAGCGGTCTGCGAATCTCACGGGCCAGCAGTCAGCTACCACAAATAAGTAGGTCCGCGGACACGAGACAGAGCTCACTCACCTCGAGAAAATCTGTAGCAGTTGAGCCGCTTCAGGAGCGATCGGTGGGGTGGGAAGGATTGGCGAGAGAGCGCGCAGAGGCGGTTGGCTTCAGCGAGGCGAGTGGCCGTCCGTCTGGCGGAGTGGGGGAGAAAGTTGGGGAAAGGCGAGCGACGAGACACGAGAGAGTGCTGACCTGCTGGGCTGCCGTTATTCTGACGCGAACACGAATCCACCCTCCGCTCAGGAATTGGACTAGCGCACGCACGGCACCACGTCGCCATCGTGCATGCCGCGCACATCACATTGAGCGCGGCGCTGGGCGGGCGAGAGCGAGGGAGAATTCCGGATAGGGACGAAAAGTCCGTGGGCGCTGGAGAGCGGACGGATGGGGAGAAATGAGACGTTGCTACGAAGGAAGCGCCGGTCGCGGTCGCGGTCGCGGTTGCGCTGGCACGGCGAGCCGAGCGAGCGACGTCGGCAGCTCAGCTGCAGTGCTGCGCCGCAGTGTGGATCATAGGGGAGTAGGGGGACGATGAGGTGTTGGCCCGGCCGCGGGCGCGTGGGGCTGACGCTCGTCACGCTCCTGACGGCAATACCGGGTGCGGTGCATCGATTAATAATCTGGGGAAGAATCGAGGGGGAGCGTCGTGTTCCCTGCCCCCGCGCGCGAAAGCGACGCGCCGTCCTCCGTGGGCGGTTTCCGGATCTAGTATAGGACGGCGCACTGCCGCGCCGCGCTCGAGGGTGGCATACTGGCATGGGAGGCTAGTGCCGCTTCGCGCCCGTGGGCTAAGGTAGGCGCCATGGCAGAATCTCGGTCCATTCATGATTGAGATTTTTGTTGTATCATCAGATATTGTTCTCCGTCCTTGCCAGGTCAGCCGGTAATGCATCGCAAAAGGGAGAGGCGTGGAGGCAAGCTAGCAGCGTATGTACCCGTGGATGGAAAACTAGTGCACGCCTCGTCACTCGCGTACGAGATGATGGCACGTTGACTGCGGCGAGGCAGCAAAGAGTGGCGAGCAGCCGAGCACGCAGGTCATGATTTGATGATAATACGGGAGCGAGTCAGTGAAAGCACAACCTGATCAAGGGCGCGTTTAGATCGACAAAGTTTGCACGATTCTCTACTCGTTTGTATTTGTGAATTATTGTCCAAACATTGACTAATTAGGCTCAAAAGATTCGTCTCGCAAAATTAAAGCAAAGGATTAGTTTTTGATTTTATCTACATTTAACATACACGCACTGTGAAGTTTGATATAATGAAATCTTAAATCTTTTTCATTTGACGGAGAACTAAACAAGGGCCAACTAGCTTTGGCAAATCTTACAAGAAAGCAAATGCTAGCGTTATCAAGGATAGGCTATGACATCATGAGAAACTAAAAAAAAAAGTTTTCATTTGACGGCGGGCGTCGGTCTCTAAGCTCAAACCATTTCTACACCAGCTGAACTTGTCACAAATATAAGCCGCAGCATGAGTTCAGTTTTCACGGGACACGGCCAAAAATCATATCCAGTCCCCTAAAAGTAGAAACTAAAGTTAACAGCTGGGATCACCAAAAGTGGATTTCTGACTGCAACGAATATGAAAAATGTTGAAACCGAGTCATCATGAGGCTTGCAGCGCCTTCAGATAGGCAACAAATAATGGAGCATTTTCCACAAATTTCATTGCAAAACTAACCAATCTATCATTACAGTCTACAACATCGAAAAACACCAGCCGCTTGTTGTCAAATCTAATTTATGTGCAACATCCTTGATCCATCTAGCGTGCCCTGTTGGAATGATAGGGATTACCATTTTTCCTGTTCGCAGAATCGGCTGTGGCATCTAACCAAGCAATTCTCCAAAATGCATTGATGGCATAAGCGCACATTGCCTACACACAAGGAAATAAATTTCACATAATTCTGACTAAAAAACGGTTATGAAAAAGATAATAGTAAAACGAATCAGATAGGCATGTTGCAATGTGGATGATGTCAAGTTCAGAAACATTTAGTCATTGCCACTGATCCAGTGTGAAATGAAACCTATCTTGACAAAACTAAACGCAATGAAGTTGTTCGTGCAACAATAACAATATGTGGGATATTAAACAACAGAAGCAAGACTTAATCTTTTTCATAGGGAGAAATGGGAACATATATTTATAAGTTTAATAAAAAAGTATTAGTGTACTACTACAGGTGATACATAATAATCTTTGATGTGGACAGCCACTTTGATCTCAAACTTTTCTACTTTTACTTTGAACTGACACAATGGAAACTCCCCCATTTTACTTTGGACTAAATGACTAATGCCTGCTGACTTACCATCATGACAATCTCTCCAAGAGATTTTCTACCATAGCTCTTTGTTTTATGCCACTCAAAGATTCTGACCTCATAATTGCATTTGATACAAGAATGACAGTACTTGCCGCAGGAGCATTCACCTACAGAATATAAACCAAGAAATAAAACACAAGAAACATTACCATTTACAATTTAACAAAAAAGGTGGGATAAAAAATCATGATCAATGAACAGTAGCTAGAACATACCCAGACTCGACCATTGAGTCCAACAGCAATCTCAAACGACAGTTTTTTCCCAAGGGCCTCCAGAACTGGACATGTTGGCGAACTTAACAACCTATAAGCAACTAATGTCAAAAACTCCAAATCTAACAAAAAAAAAATGCTAGTGATTCAATGGAGGGCGAGGTGTATTATCCTCACATTCGTGACATGCCAGTTGATGTGTCAAACATATAACCATCTTTCAGCTGACCAAATTCAGCAGCTTTCCCAGAAGCTTGAAAATAGGAACAGTATTAATACAGTAAAAGAACGATCAGATAAAGCCAAAAGAAAACGGTCCAGACTGAGTATCATCCCACAAGCTGAAAGGTTCTCACAAGCAACGAGGATATATTTGCTTTGCTAAGATGAATAAAATTTGGTACTCTATACTTATGATGGACAATTAAGGAAAATGGACACTGAGCTGTAAGTTAAAAAATTTACCATCCATGCATGAGAGCTCGGGATTCATGATACTATTTGCTTTCACCACTCGAGCATATATTAGCGTACCAATCTGCAGGAACATTCCCATCGTAAGACAAATATATAATCAATAAAGAGAATATAAAGCTCGAAACACTGTGGAAACAACTTATGGCACCACTCAGAGTTGAAATCACAGTGGACATAGACATGTTCAGTAACTTTTTTTCCCACAATGGCCATAGCCGAATTTCATTACTGGTGTAACAAAATTACAAAGATTCCACAGTTTAACGAGAACGAAACGCCACTACCTGACTACCATCGTGATCATGGAGTTGATCACCCAGGGATCCAACTCATGATCACCCACTACTTACCAAACCAAAACGATAAAGCTGAAACTACCAAAAAAACCCCGCAGACACATCAAGTGTTCATTACAGGGCACCTGCCCAGAACAGCGCGCAGGCCGCACAGCTTTATCATACCTGACTATGTTCAGGACCTGACTATAGCATTTACTCTCTCTGTTCCTTTTTATTTGATGTTATAGGATTTTAAGAAGAAACATACCTAATTTACTTCCCTAAAATGTTCCTACCAAAGTAAAAAATTGACAATCTAAAAGACTCAATCTACTTGTTCATTAGTAATAACTAACATCAAATGTACGTAGTTTAGGAGAAATAATTTAAATTACGAAGTAGAAAAAGACAGCTTTAATAGAAGCATGTGGTTATTTTGTACTCTTTCTTAATTTGAGCACAAAACGTGCTAAAACATCAAGCATAAAAGAATGGAAGGAGTATTTGGAACAGAAAAAAAAACAATCCACATGCTACTGAACATATGTTAAGAACTGCACATGTGGCCTACTGTATACACATTTCACACTTTAAGTATAGAGACTGACAAAACTATGAAACTAAACAATGCTAGAAAGTTCAAATGATCCAGTGTCTTACCTCGAACTTTGGTATGTTTCTCCTTGTACCACCTTCAAATGCAAGCACTGGTAGAAAGGCCAAATTAGGACCCTTTATGTCTACCAAAAAGTTCTGTAATAACCAAAGCTATTTCAGCAAAGAAAATACATCACAGGCAAAATACATACAATTATTTAACATAAAAAAGCAAATATCTAGCTTCTAGCAAAAGCCAATTCTGGTTTCTGTTTGTATATTAGAACTGTATGAAAAGGGTAATCAGCTGATCATCTTGCCAGTACTAGGGATATATGGATTTGACATTGTATATACAAAACCCCCCCTTCATTTTGCAACACTTGTCCATTTTTTGAGGAAAGCACAATTCCACATTGCTTCTCCACCAAGCAAATCAAGTAATATTTCTGCCACTTTCACGCAGTTTAATGCTATAGTAGAAGGGATTGTGTAGTTGTACTGTTGTAGTATGTCATTTGATAGTGATTGTCCATGTTTCAATACTACCAGCTATTTTTTTCTTTGGTATGGTGCTTCTTTATCTGATTCCATCAAGGTTGTCAACCAGATCAAAGAGTTTTATGTAATATCGCAATTACAAATCTTAAACATAAAGATTGTAAAAAACATATATTCTATTGACTAGAATTGTAGAATCAGGCCCTTTAATTAAGATCGCAAATGTGTAGAATCATAAAACATAATTGTAGTTTTGACAGCCATGATCCATGGTAGCCTCAGATAAATATCTAGAAACAAGTATTAACTCACATACTTCTGAATGTAAATGTATACTTACGTCAGGTTTGGTGTCAACCACAATACCAAGAACTGTATCTTCTACAGAAGGTATATACTGCAAAAAAGAAGAACATGAATGAGTGACTGCTGAAACACAAGACAAAGAGGGTGGAACAGAGTAGCACTATCCGCATTTAGGCTATAACAAAGAGGGTGGAACAGAGTAACACAAGACAAAAACGATATGACCAGATCAAAGCTTTTCATGCTGATTAATTTCAAGTCATGGAAATCGAAACGTTTATTAAAATGGCAATAACATATAACCAATCGTAGAAGGTAAATGTGGCAATGATCAATTCATGTTTGTGCGTTACTGCTGGAATTTTTGTTGCACTGAGTCAACATAACCCAGTCCACTTTAGGCTAACATATTAGGTCAGCAATTTACAGTTTTACACAGAAAGGGCCACATATATTATGAATTATCTATTCAACCAGCATCCTACAGCAATGGTAATAAAATACTTAACGCAAGTATCTCAAGAGCAACCAAATTTTTACATAATGTATGCATCTCCGAGCCAAATCGGACTTACCCTCTTCTGGGAGTTCTCAATCCAATACTTGTTGGGTTTCAACAACCGCAGCTTCCCAGCACTGGTCGCCTGGATGGTGTCACACTCCTGCAAGCCCCGTTTTATCACCGATAAGCCTCGCGCCCAAATAAACCCCATTAAACCCTAACCACTAAGTCTCACAAAAGACAACGGCTCCCACATTCCACCATGAAAGGGCTTACCTGACGCAGGCCCACGCCGAGCTTAATGGTCTGGTTGTTCATCTCCGAGAGGTCCAGGACGACGTCACCAGGTACCTGAGCAGCGAGGGCAGCGACGGAAGTGTGAGGTGATGACCACACCCACACAGATAGCGGAAGTGAGAGATCAAGGTGCGGGATAGGGCTGGGAGGCTTACCACGTAGTTGTCGACGAGAGGAGAGGGCGCCGGCCTCCTCGACTCCATTGCAGCGACGGTAAGGAGCGCCGGCGTGGAGGACTGGAGGTGCGGAGCGAGTCGGACGGCGGTTCGCGGCGGCGGCCCTCCTGCGTCCTGGGTTCTTGGCTATAGAGCTCGCCCTGTGCGTATGGTTAGCTGAGGGGATGGGCCTGGGCCTCAACGTTGTACGCCTGCTTGTGGACTGTGGTCAATCAATTAAAAGAAGTTTTTTTTAGACGAGAGAAGAATTGTATTAGATAAAAGTTGGGTTCATCAACACGTTACCAGCACTTAGAAATTGATTTTCATCTAAATTATATCAACGCTGTGAATATCTTCAGATCTCAAACTCAAACATGTATGACGCTTCATATAGATGACCACACAGGCAAATACTCGGCAAATGGCCTGAGAACAAATACACAACAAACGACGGCCAACATTCCTGCAAGCAGAGTTGAGAAACTTCTTATTTCTTGTGTCTTCCTTCTTTTTCTTTCTGCCACCGAAGAATGAGGAAACCTGATCTGAAATTTATTCCCCCTAGTCCTTCATCATGGCCAAATCTAACCACAACAAAACGGAGAAGAGACCGGAGAAAATTATTCTATGGCGGCGACATCATCTCCGCCTTGATGTCGCCGTCCGAAAAGAAAAGTCTCCATGTTGTCGTGTTGATGAAGTTGTTGACGCCGTAGTTGTCGTCCTCATCTTCAAAAGCGCCGCCATGGAGAAAACGATTCCACCCTACCCCGCGCCGTTGCCGGAGAGAAGGAGGAGGAGGAGGAGATAAATCTCCAATACCAACAAACTTTGCATGGAGAAACTCTAACTCTAAGGACTCGATCTACTTAAAAAAAACTTTATTAAAAACGATGGATCCCCACTCCCTTCAGCCTCCAGCAAGATGCCTCGCTGGAGGAGAAGGGAGGGGACCAGCGGTGGTGGAAGGTGGGGGGCGGCGGCCGCGGCTGCACTAGGCAAGTCACGAGGCCGAGGGGGCGAGTCGCGAGTCACGGTTCGCGGGCCTTGTACACAGCAGCCATGGATCGATCATCAATTACAAGAAGTTTATTCTAACTCTTTGGACTAATTATCAAGGTCTAATTTTCTATCTCCGATTTTAAAATCAGAAATTTTACTCTCTCAACTCTCAAACCATTTAAACTACCTCCATATCCATGTAGAAGTGATTCTCTAGGTGGTCTAATAATACTTTTAAACCACAAAAAATATCACTAAGCTTCAAAAAATTCTAAGAAAAAATATAGTGATAGATTAGGACATGGCAAACCCAAATAAAATATCTAGAGCTCATTAAATATCTCAAAAACTTTAAATTAATATATTTATCTCTAGGAAAATGAAAAAATATCCAACAAAATGTGAAAAGTTCTCAATGCAATACATTTGATGTCTAAATGCATTTTAAAAAACATTACATAACAAAATATGAGATATAATAGGATTGGCAAAAAATGCAACATCTAATTAATGTTGAATGTATGCTGGTTGTATCTTGCATTTTTGTTATGGAAAGATTTTGAAAATGCATCTAATTGTTCTGTGGTTTTTGGTGAATTAATGACAATGCAAGTAAAGTAATGAGATTTACAAAGCATCCCTACAATTTTTGGGAATTTATTTTTTTCTGAATTTTTTATTTTTAGAGCTAAATCTATTTTTTGGAATCTTCTAAAGATATTTTCATGAGCTTTAAATTATTTTATTTGGGTGTCTTATTTTCCAATATGTCTTTAGGATTTTTCTTAGAACTTTAAGAAACTTAGTGATATTTTTATGTTTTAAAATTTTATAAGGAATTTACTGGATTTTTAAACTAAAAATTGAAGAAAAGTGCCTTGAAAACCACCTCTATAACCTAGGCAATGAGGTAATTCATACAATTTTGAGAGTTGAAGAGGTAAGTTATCTGATTTTTGAGTTCGACGAGAAAAATCAGATCACAATAATAATTCAAGTAGGTAACATAGAATTTTTCACCTTGGCAGCTGTGTGAAAGGGACGAAAAAAATCCGATTTTATACGGCAACCACCAGTTTGGGTTGAAAGGGATGGAAGTGGGCCGATGGGATGAAAAAAAAACAACAAACAAAAAAAAAGGAAAAATACTAAATCTAAAATCCCAGCGCCGAGGAATTCAGACATGTGGTTTTCGTGCATGAATTTCATGCTCCAAAACAGCACGAATCTGCAAAAAAGTTTTCTGACCGCATTACATTGTTGGCTTGTCACGTCTGGGAGAAGAGACTGCACGATGATAATGGTGCAAAACCGCATAGCCAGCCCGCAAACATTAGAATATATCTTAGATCTTAGGAACTGCTAATCCGAAATGGCGTCGCATATTTCTGATGCACATCGATTAGAGCGAGTGTAACTGCCTATACGGCCAGGCGCCCAGCCCACATCAGAGCTGACCATCATATCATATGTAGAGGTGCGCAACCTATGGTATGGGTACCTGGGGAGTGGTCTCCTAGTTGCATATCTTTCAGGCTTTCAGTATAAAAGAACAAAAGTCTACATAACCCCCAACTATTAAGGGTGGACTACTTCACTCCCAAACTATAAAACCGAATTTTCTACACCTTGAACTTTTTCAAAACCGATCAAATAACCCCCAAACGGTTTTGGACGGTAGGTTTTACTATAGTGACAGTGGTTTTGTTTTTTTATTTATTTATTTTCACTGAATCTTTAAAAAATCATAGTAAATCATAGAAAAATCATAAAATGAAAAAATCTATTTTTTTTGACTCCGCATAAGTAGATCTACATAGTAAACATATAATATGGTATGCTTTATTATAAAGTTTTTTATGTAGCTTTAGATTTATGTTTTTCTGTAATTAATTGAAATAATTCATAGCTGCAGCTTCTATGGTCCAATTGTGATGAAATTTTTATGGTGGGCTAATTATTGTATGCTTAAACTATAGTAAAAATTTCATACTCCGTGGATCATATATAAGTTAGTTACAGATAAAGCATAAACCTAAATAAATCTACAACTAAGTTATACATGATCCAATGAGTATAAATTTTTTACTACAGTTTAAGCATACAATAATTAGCCCACCATAAAAATTTCACCACAATTGGACCATAGAAGCTGCAGCTATGAATTATTTTAATTAATTACAGAAAAACATAAATCTAAAGCTACATCAAAAACTTTAAACTAAAGCATATCATATTATATGTTCACTTTGTAGATCTACACATGAGGAGTTCAACAAAATTAGATTTTCTATTTTATAAAAAAAAACAAAACCACTGTAGTAAACCACCGTCCAAAATCATTTGGGGGTTATTTAACCGGTTTTGAAAAGTTTCATGGGTAGAAAATCCGGTTTTATATTTTGGGGGGTGAAGTAGTCTGTCCTTAGTTGGGGGTTATATAGACTTTTTCCCGGTATAAAATGACCAGCATGAAACCTCGGTACAGCCACTTCAAATTTTTAAAAGCCAACCTTGACTCACTGTACTGCTACAATTTGTCCAAGTTGTAGAGATTAAGCCCACTTTGGAACTTAGGGATTTCACAGAAATCATGTAGAAATTTCACATGAATCAAGATTCAGTGACCCAAGAAGCATACAGGAAGTAGTATTCACATCATGCAATGCACTCTATGAAACCAAGCTGAAGACACAGTAAGCAGAGATGACTGAGTTAAGACCAAGAGCAATGAAAGCTAGGAATGCCATGGAAGCTGAGGCATTGATCAGTTTGGTAAATTGATCCCCTCCAAACCGAGACATCCAAACACCATTACGAGAAAGTGCTGCTGAAGATGCTGACAATAGGAGGTAAGCTAACATCTGCAATAGCATGAAAAACCATTCAGACACATTTTGGTCACTAACAAATTTTAAGCCAAGTTGCAAGCTCAAAACTAGTAGAGCAAAACACAAAACAATGAATGTCCGACACATGGTTAAACAGGAATTTGTGGAGACTGGTGGGGCGCCTTTGTGTCCCAGCATAGCAGGTCCCAAGCACTAGTAAAGGAGGAGGCTTGTATTAGACGCGGCGAACCAATATAAAAACTTAGCCACTTTAATAGAGATGAAACCCAAAAGAATCCTGTTGGGGCGTAACCCTCTTAGCGACGCGCCATGTCGGAACTTGGATATGGTGTTAAATAAGCAAGGGCCACGTCGTCACCCCCGTGACGCGCTGTGTTGTGATCTGGACATGGTGTCAAGTGAGCAAAGATCGGGTCGTCGCATCCTTAGTGGCGCGCCACATCGGCACCCGGGTGTGGTGCAAAATGAGCAAGGGTCTTCACACTTACTTCGGCGTGTGCGAAGGGTAAAGAAGCTAGTCGAACCAACTAGGATCCGTTTAGCTAGCTGGAATGTAGAGTCCCTTACAGGTAAGTTAAGAGAGTTAGTGGACACAGCGGTTAGGATGTGTGTAAATATCTTATGCGTCCAAGAGATTAAATGAAAGGGGCAGAAGGCAAAGGAGGTGGACAATACCGTCTTCAAGCTCTGGTACACAGAGACAACTTCAAATAAAAATAGAGTAGAAGTTTTGATTAATAAGAGCCTCAAGGGGATGGTGTGGTGGAGGTAAGAAGGCAAGATGATAGGATCATCTTAGTTAAACTTGTCATTAGTGATATAGTTTTAAACGTAATTAGTGCGTATGCCCCCCAAGTAAGCCATAATGAGAGTGCTAAGCGGCTTTTCTAGGAAGACATAGATCGCTTGATTAGAGCTGTCTCTAGTAGCGAGAATCTCTTTTATAGAATGTGATCTTAATGGCCATGTAGGTACATCAAGTGCAGGTTTCGAGACGGTTTATGGGGGTTTCGGATATGGTAGTAGAAACCAGGAGGGAGAGGAAGTCTTAGATTTCGCCATAGCTTTTGATCTGATGATAGCTAACACTTTCTTTCGTAAGAGACGGTCTCATTTAGTGACCATTAGTATCGGCCAATACTCTAGTCAAATCGACTTTGTGGTCGCTCAACATAAGCTGGTGGTGGCTAA